GTCTATGTTTCTAGCTTCTCTATCAGGAAATCTATTCAATCGTAAATGCACTTTCTCTCCACATTTTTCAAACTGTTCTCTAGCTGTTCACTCCAATCACTGTTAAACACACTCGAATCTCCCGGAGCACCACATTCCTCCAGGTACAACTACAATGACGTATAATTAAGTCCTGTATACGGAAAAGAGCCTGGAACAGAAGAGAGTAAAATACACTTTTGACTGTGTTTAGCTGGGTCAGTGATTGCTGCATTGCTTAAATTCTATTTATGGATGTTCTCAAACTTCCTATAATTAATATATATTGCTTGCTTTTACAGATAAAGTATCACTTTTATAAATGTATGGTAACTCATCCTGCTAATCTAGGTGATCAGCTCTGAGTCAGAGAGCGGCAAGGTTAATGCTGTCTTACCAGCTTTTATCACCATCTGCTGGTAAAATTGTAGTACAACATGCAAAGAAATACAGTTGGACAAAGATGTAAAAAACGCCACTTCGTATATTTAGACCACTTTTCAGTTTATAAATGCGTCGCGCTCCATTATTATGTTAACCAACAGTAATTAAAACATTAAAGTTTACTCTTTCTGTTTCTATTTCAGTTGAGATGGACAACTGAGCTGTCCAATACTACATGGTAGTCACTGGCCACTTGTGAGGCCCGGGCTTTTGAAAACTACCCATTTGCAACTGACCAGCCTGGGTGTAAAACATATACCATATTTTTAGATTTATAGTGTGAAAAAAAAGATGTGCATATGCTCAATAATTTTTTATATTCATGATAGGTAGAAATAATATTTTCAGTGGATTAAAGTATTGATTTCACCTCTTTTTCTGCATTTTATATAGTCACCAGAAAGTTTTGTTACATATTTATTTGCATTTCTACTTTACAGTGTGCCATAGTTACTATATTGCAAACTGATAGTAGTATACCTCTGACCCCCTAAAACTGTCAAAAGTAAATGGCAAAAAAAAAAAAAAAAGTGCTGAAATTCTCATAGACATTAGAGTCATAAAAACATGGGAAAACAAAGACTGGAGAAAGATTTAAGTTTTGATTATTATGTCTGACATTTTACGCAAGAAAGGATTATCTTTTTGCTTAGAGAACTCATATACATGTTTACTGTGGTTTCCATTGTTTGAAAATGTATTTCCCTGTCGTTTAAATAAATCATTATGGACACTTTCAGAGATATTTACAAGAGAAAGTGGTGTATAGAATCTAAGTTGGTATTTATTACCATGATTGATGGTGTCAATTTTTCTGTGGCCCCACTGACAATGCTCGCGCATCTATGAACATTTTACTGAGTATCTCTGAAACACAAGAACTCATTTGACCCTGATTATCGCCTAACTCCTATGTCATTAATGCACCCAGAATATTGACACATCCTCAGTAATGTCAAATACCATGTTGCTATTTTATTATTTTCAGTTTATTCACAAACTTTTACTTATATGTCACCCCTTCTCCCCTTTATCCTTAAAAGTAGATTCTGAAGAATTTTTGTCTGTTTTGTGAAGTTCTACATTGACTATTCTGTAGATAGCAATCCTATGTTGCTATTTAAAATTTTCTATATTTTGTATTTCCTATAAATTAGTAAATAAAATTTGAAGTTTGGAATTTGGTATTACTTGGAGATAACAAAATACTTAGTTCTCCATTTTACATAAACTGTAAGACTAATCATGATCTTGTATCACTTTTTATTTAATATTAGTTAAAATACTTCTACCAAGTAAACTGTTATCTGAGGTATATTTTTTGAAAAAAAAAATGAAGACATTATTTCCCTCATTTACCAGCTTTCAAAACATTGAGCTCATCCACAGCAACTACTATAAATGGTCAGTGAAATTATTTTGAAGGGATGAATACCATTATAAACTCATGGATTTAAATACATTTAATGTGGTTCTAGGTAATGCAGTTATTTTTTTTTTTTCCCCACTAATTCACAAAACATCCTATCTCTGTCTGACAGAAACCTTTCAAGTTGGGGACATTACATGACCTTAAGTTGGCTTTGATAGTCTTTGCTATCTGTAAGATGATTTTTCAAATACACCCATACAAAATTAATTTGAAAAATCATCTTGTTATATAAAAACCTGTTCTTTTGGCAGAGAATGTTAAGACTATATGACCATGAAGGATATTCATTGCCAGTGGGTTTCTCATAAGACTCTTAAGTAGTGGAAAAAAGAAAGTAAGGGATGGATAGGAAGACTTACTGTGGTTTATGTCTGGATGTCCCCCTAAAACTTCAGGTGCTCAAGGTGGGGCTTTATGCAGGTGATGGGGTCATAGGACCCTGGTACTTGGTAGTGGGTTAGTTCACTGAGGAGTTTGTAGCTAAGTGTGATTTGGGTGAGCCTGGTGGTGGGTCACTGGGTGTGTGGCCAGAGGGTGTATCTCCCCCTCCTCTCCATCCCATTCTGCTTCCTACCTCTGGGCCATGAGCCATGTCTCCCTTGTGAGGACCTCTGCCATACTGCTCAACCTCCAAGCCAGTCACCTATGCACTGAAACCTCAACTGTGAGCCAAAACAAACCTATCTTCCTTTACCTTGTGAGTGTCAGGTATTTTGTCACAGTGATGAGAAAGCAGCAGAGACAAGATTCAAGGAGTAATATAGTTTCTTAGGGTTTTCATGTTCCTTCACAAGTACCTGACTAGAATAGCTAAGGGATGTTCTTTTATCATAATGAAATGATAATGAGAAAAAGTCTTAGCATATTAGTAAGGAAGAACAAAAAGTAGTAGTATGGATAAATATAGTGTATATGTGTTCTCACTGGTTGACAACTGAGTTTCCTTTTTTATACATATTCATATAAATTCATATATATTCAATATATTCTAAAATTTCCATGTAGGCAAAGGAATGAGAATTAAAATAATTTTTAAAAAGAATAATATGTAAGAAAGTCTACTGAATTTGAAAATTATTAGAGATTAGGTGTCATTTAAAGGTGAGGGCATTAAAAGTACTTCAGAGTTTGCATTTTTTTCTAGGTCCTGGAACATTTGTATTCACGTAATAAGGGGATGAGCCACAAGTTTAAACACTAAATTCATTTACATCTAGTATATATTTTATACACAAACCTGAAAGTAATTTTATACAATAGTTCCAATGATTTTGTGTATAAAAGAAATATTCAAATTATGTGCAATTTTCCATTTGTGATGTCAGGTTGGCACTCCAAAAGACTTGCATTTTGGAGCATTTCAAGCTACAGATTAGGAATATTCAATGTGTACGTAATACAGTAATCAAGAAAGCACAGGACCAGATGAGGTACTGAAACAAATTAATAGAACAGAGGACTTAGCAAAAACTCATAAAATACATACAGTTAACTTTCAACAAAAATTCAAAAACAGAATTTTAAAAAAGGGCACCTTTGAAACATAGTACGGGATTAACTATGGGAAAAGGGAAACCAATCTAAACATATTTCACATAAAAGTTAACTAAAAATATATCAAAGTCTTAAGTATAAAAGTTTTTGGAAAAAGTAGAGGAAAGGAAATATTCAGCTCCTAGTAAAGTTTCTGACTGTGCATGACCATGAAAGGAAAAATCGATAAGCAAAAACTGGCACTATCCTCTCTTTCTTGCAAAACCCACCATCATTTGCACGTCCATTTACTCCTGGGTCCTCAATGATCCGTCTGAGAGGTCCCAAGGTGTAGTCCAGAGTCTGAGAGCATGAGGAGGTTGGCAGGTCGGCAGGAAGGGCCTCAGTGAGGTCAGCCAGGCACCTAGAACACTGCTGGTGAGGGTGAAGCTCGGCAAAGCATTGACATCAAGTTACTGAGAGTGGTGGGTGTCACCAGAGTCATGTCATGTAATGACTACCATGACCAACTCTAAAACTGGATAATTAGTCTGAGGAATTAGTAAAGTAGGTATGTATCGAGAAGAAAGCAAGAAAAGTATATTAATGAAATAAGAGTTTAAAAGACCATTTGTAAAGAAGACTCAAATTTGAACCGTAAAGATAAAACATAATTTTGGTTAGAGGAATGCACACCAGCTAGTGTGAGTCCGCTGGGTATGTTAGGAGTACAGAATAGTGAAGAACACAAGCTCAGGGCTGAGGCCTGTCAGAGGAAGGTCGGGGAAGGGTCTAACCATGCAGGCCCTGGGAGTATTCGAGGCTGTTTTCTTCCTGGAAACATTGCATAGGAAACCAGGTGATCCAGACAGCAGGAACACTGTAACTTTATAGTTGGAGTACTTACCATACAGGTAGCTGAAGTACAGAGGACAAAGGATGTCCTCAGGCCCTAAACACGGAGGCCTAGGCCTCTTTAATCCAATCCATTTCCATTTTACGCTCATATTATCATTCCCTTTAGTGTGTTGCTTGATACACAGGATGGGGAAAGCAAGTGATCCTTTTGTGCCTTGAAACAGAGGTGAAATTATCTTGAAAATCCATTTCTAGTTAGGCATGGTGTCATAGGCTTATAACCCCAGTTACTGGAGGGCTGAGTTTGGAGAACTACAATTTGGTGACATCCACCACCAAATAAAATTTCAAAAGGACCAGGCATGCAGGTCAGTAATAAGAGTGTCTGCCAAGCAGGAGTGAAGCTACAGATTTAACCCTTGGCATTCAAAAACAGTAACAACAAAAAAACCAGCCCAGGGGCCTCATATTCCAGGGGGGGTACTAAACACTACATTTCTGAGGTGTGGGGGGTATTTGTAACCCTGGCAGCTTTTCAGATAAAGACTTTGTACTACAAACTGAAGGAAAACATCTTATTTATATAGTTTAAATTGGCTTCTACATATTTTTTTTTCCTTACTGGAAATATGTTTGCAGGAAGCAGACGGAAGTGGGGTAAGAGAATACCGCACTAGTGTTTTAAAGATGTACTAGCATTGTTCTTTAAAGAAAAAGAAATACTTCTGTAAGTTCCTAAGCACTTGAGAGCAATAAAGAAACTGTGAGACAAGAGTTCACTGGCTTAACAAATGGATGACTTTATTGAGAGGACAAGATTGGTGTTTACTGCCAACCATCCAGGAAAACAGAGTGCACAGACTTACATAATACTTTGGTTTAAAAATTACTCATAACATCAACATTAAACCTGGTATTTGAAGAAACAAATGAGACATAAATGTAAAACACAAGCCATGAAAACAAGTTGGCGCAGACGAACACAGATGTTCAAGTGGTAGTTAAGGAAGGCTTGAAGACGGCAGTGTGCCTCAGCGACGCTGACCTTCTCAACCTCCTAAGACACAGTCAGCTACCAGCACCATGTTTCTCATCCTCCTGGAAGAGGCTTGACAATGAACAACTTGTGCTGTACGAAGGTGAACTGAAATGGACTGGTGCCATCAGCCTCGTCCAGACCACCCACCAGTCCCTGCCACTGGTCTTAAGGCATCGACAAAGTGTCCCTCGCAGCTTCACTTAATCTCTAAACAGGCATGTGGTGGGAAGCGGCCTCTTTGTTTTCTGACCTCAGACAGGCAGCTACATCTCATCAAGGTTCTGTTATTTCAAAGATGGTTTTGTCTCTGGGGCGTGGCTATAAATCGATGAGTGTGGGATAGCATTTCATGCTTTACAATATTCACATTCCCAGGAGCAAAAGGGGCCTTACCAAAAAAACCTTAGAGAGATTACCCTTCCAAATTGTAAGACAAATGACTGTCACCTTTCCTGAGCAACCTGATTTATAATGAGTGCAAACCTGTACCTTTAAATTTGGCATCTTTTCAAAATACGTATTGTGCTGGGATGGATTCATCTTAGGAGAAAACCCATATTACAGAAAATTCTCACTTTGGAACATCTTTTTTTATATGCTTTTTTCCCACTGTTCCATCTAATTTACAGTGTACCCTGAAATGATCTGTTACCTGTAAGAGGCAGGTAAAAACAGCTATTTCTGAGAAGAGCATTTGGCTTTCAATGTATAAGAAGGGCTAAAATTACAGCCCATGGTTACTTTAGAGACTAATTAAATCAGAAATACAAAAATTCTAACAGCAATAATCCTCCCACCAAATTTAATAGCTAGAAACTATTTTAGCATGTATGGTTCAGGGTAATAAAAATATGCCTTAAGTATATAACATATTGAAGTATATTCTCAACTATTCTCTTCACTGTTCTCAATTCTTACTCTTTGTGAAGGGAATGTTACTCAGCTGTCACGTAACAACTGTTCTGTTCTTCACATTTGAATCTCAACAATGAATACTAGGCTACAAATCATAGTTAATTCTTCCCTGATCTGAAATGCTGAAATCAGCACAGTGTTGGTTCCCAATGTTACAGGAAATTACTTAAAAAGAAAGTTTTTCTAGTTTGCTAAAAATTTTAGTATTTAGCTAAAGACATTTAGCATTTAGCTAAAAACAAAATTTCTAGTTTGCTAAAAACATAATACATACAACTATATTAAATCTATTGAGAAATCTATTGTAAACTATATTAAATCAATAGAACATCTTCGCATGTTCTCAACTTCGTAGGAATGAACGAGGGAATGGTTTTTAAGGCCGGTTATTTCCACAATCAACATGATTACTTACATGATTGTGTCACTGTGTGGCATTAAACAAAATGTATTAAAACCACTCTGGTGTCATCTCTAATAAAGTAAGCTTTCCCAATTTTCTCTTAAAAAAATAGGACATTTTCATGAGCAAATCTCTCATTTCAAATAAATATATGTACTGTTTGTTTTTCTCATCTTTTTGTTAATGGTAAGCATTCTGGTACACAAAGATACTGATTAAATTCTTTTAAATCATCTGAATATCTTCAATATACAACAGAACCTTTGGAAATATCTCCACACAGATGCCATCAAAAAGGAGGTCAGTAAACTCTCATTCTTCAGAATGTGATCACCTGATATGAAGGACCTGGTTAGAAAACTCTCTTTCCTCTTCCAATCTTTTTGGTCATGCTTCCGCTTATTCCAGAGACTGACATGATGTGTCTATTAGTGTCATAGCTCAGCTACAGCACAGTGGGAGAACAGGTCCAAAGCTCAGATAATAAAGATGCTTGGGGATCAAATGTAAATTTTAAACTTCAACAGAGACTTGGCCGTCGTTCACATAGTGGAAGTACACTGACCTTAGTCAGAGTCCAGCTAATTTAAGGCAACACTGTTCCTCACAGATACTGCTGGTGTGAAGTGCAGGACTCATCAAAAAAGTGACTCTGTAATCTGACATTTCCTCAATTCATCCTTACTTCTTGACTTCTCTAGAATTAAGTTTAGCACTTCTGCTAACTGTTGTTAAATTCCAGAGTAACAACAGCCCTCTGGTTCTTTGTGTTAGCAGCCTTTATATATTACCATGGATAACAAAAGCACTGTGCAATAAAAATTTGGATGATGTGCCCCATGCAGTGTTAACAGGAGTCTCTATTTTTCTTCTCCTGATAACTCTTGATGTGCTAAGAAAAAGTTCCCTATCACCAGTAGAATAAGCAGGTATGGCTTTTAAGACTCACAGGCACCAACAGATATGAGGAGAAAATGGCACCATTTTAGAGTCACTTCGCTGACTATGAGCATTAAGGAACAGACATAGCATGTAAAGTCTTGAAAAGTCTTCATACTGCTACTAAAAATCCAAGTTCTGACTTTTTATAACTGTTTCTAAAACGTCTATGCTATCAGAATATGGCACATTATGTATACTGCAATCTACATGAACTACGATCCTTTTCAGTGCTAATGCTCCCTACACAAATACTATCTTCCAAAACAAGAAGTAGGCTTTGACTGCAACCCCTATTCTGTTGTCTTTCCAGCTTTTTATACAGTGGCCTCACTCCTTTGCTAGCCTGAAGACTTAGCCAATCACCACAGTTATCTTCTTGGTATTTCCCTAAGTGATATTTATACAAAGGCAACACTTAAAAATCAAGGCCCGAAAATGTTACCACTTATGTGGCAAATTGAATGCACCATATTATAGTAGGTATTTCCAACTTGGCACAAGACAGATATAAAAAGATGTGACACTATTAAAGAAAAATAATTATCAGTTAAAAGCTATTCTTATACTGTCATGTTTTGATTGTGAAAGATAGAGAATAATTAACAATGAATTAATTTACTCATCATCTAGTTCAGCCTCCAGCCACAGAAAAGAAGAGAGAGAAATGGGTCACATTCAGAATTTTCTTGAGTTCAATGGAAAAAGGCTCAAAGTCATACATTTTGGAATATACTAACCTAGGTGAAAGCAGTTAACACCATTCTCAAGACTGTCCCTCAGGAGCACACCTTTCCTAATTCAGATGCTTCTCTCCAATCAAAATCCCCACATAGTATTAGTTTTGCTTTTGCAGTTCATTAGTATGCTGCTGCTTGCTGGAAAGTCACTTAAAAAATAGTACTTCAATACACAAAATCACATTCTAAAAAATCTCAGTATTTTAAAACACAGGAGTGTACTGTGCAGTCTCCCAACCTAATAATGCTGGTTTTACAGTGGCTTGAACGAAGCCAATTTTTTCCTGTCACAACACTGAACGTGACCCTTATCTAAGCTCTCTTCCCAAGCAATGACTTACAATCAGGCAGGGGAGAAAGTGTACAAGTCAAGACGCCTCAAGATATGGTTCATAACATACTGTGCTTAGTTAGCATTACTACCGTCAGTGGGCCTAGCCTGCGAGAACAGAAATTTAGCAACACAAACATTTCCAAGGCCAACTATTCCTTTACAGCATTTAAGTATAATACATTATGGGCCTAAAAATTAAATTGCCTGTGTTCCAAAAGCAGGAACAAGAATGAAATAAATGTTTCCACATTTATATAAAAATGAAAAAGTAAAAAGCAGAGAACACAGTGAAGTGTCTGGCAGTTCATTAAAATACAGTTGTTGTTATTCCTATCTTCTCCAAGATAATATTTACATTATCTGAAATGAAAATGAATGAGGATATAACTGGGAGAATTAATTTCTATCTCCTTGTTCACATGTAAATAATTACTGATACTCTTAAAAAAAGTGTGCTTTTCAAAAAAAATAAAGAAAATATTTTAAAATTCTTATCTCTTAAAAGCCTAAAAAAAGTAACAAATTCTCAACACTGATGTTGAATTGGCTATCACAAGGGCAACACTACCTTTGGTCACTAAGACAGCTGAGACACTAGTATTAAGTGATCTGACATTTTTTGACTGAATTATGTCAAGTTAACATTTTAAAATAATAAATATTGAAATATATGAAAAAAATTCAGAGAACCTTTAAAAATTGATCACTGTGTGAAATAGAAAAATAAACATTTATAAAATAAAAATATCGCAAATCATTGTTGCCCATTTGCCCAAGTTGATATCAAATAAAAAGGACAACTGTATTTTTTCTTTAGTTACTGTAAAAAAATTTAAATAATGAAAAAAATCACAGGGCAGATAAAGAAAAATATAGCACTACTCTAAGTCAACAGGCTTATAGATATTAAACTTACACTCTGTAATTGACATAATGCTGGCCTTGTCTCCTCTTTCTTCAATGAAGATTTTCCCATATTCGTTTTCTCATAACTGTTCAAAGTGCTATTTCCCCTTTCCTCTATATTCCCCAAATGACTACATCCCTTTTACATCTCGCCCAGAATTTAACTATACAGTGCCTTTTACTCAAGTTCCTGTACGAACAACATGTAAGAGATTTTTAAAATGAGAGATCCAAATGTAACTGTGAGACTATTCTAAATAGCTTCCTGACAATTGCCCAGCTTTAAAGACAGCCTGGTCAGGTAAGGCAAATAGAAGACAGCTTCAGAGGGAGGATAGAGAACTAGCATCCTTTTCTCTAGTCACCTATATATTTCTTTCCTAAAAGTCATACTGAAATGCCAACAATGTCAGATCTGTACAAGGGAAAAGAACAGCAAATAAAACTGAAGGAATATATTATATATATATATATCTTGATTGCTGATTGCCATTTATGTTCACTGAACAGCATGGGCAAAAACACAATTCCATGAGTTAGCAGATAGAAATGATTACGAATTGCTTAAACAGGACTTCCAGTACGAGGAAATATAATGTGGGCCAGTAGCAAAGTCCAGGGCAGTTCAAGTGCTGGATTAAAGGAATATAACAAATATTGTTGCCTATCAACGAATGTGCAGAATCACATATTTGGATAAAGAAACACTTTTGCCTACTTCAAAAAGAAGCTTGCCAATGAACAAATACTCCTATGCCATTTTAGCCAGGAAGAACTTTTATCTGTGGTCAGAAAAATTGATATCTTCACTTATAGGATCATAGTGTCTTAGATCTATATGTAAATACAAAACGAGATAAAGAGTTTCTCATTTTCAGTTGACTATGCATAGCCTGAGGTACTATTTCAATGAAGTTTTTCCAATGACTGCTACATTCATGGTCCACTGACCAGGGCCTTCAGCAAGTCTGGCTACACACAAAGCAATTGCCCAGGAAGATTAAAGAAGGGTTCCGAGGCCAATTTTCCTGTGGAATTACAGGAATACACAACCACCGCAGGCCACGCATTCAGAGTAACATATTTCAACTGCTCCAGCTGTCTCTTTTTAAAACACATATTGGTTCTAACTTTTGTCTTTTCCTTAAAAGAATGTAAAATAAAGGCACTGGCCTTCAAAATAACATATATTAGTATACCTATAAAGCTCTTTCTTATATTCTTTTACTGTGTTGCACCTACATGTTGTATTTTACTTTGATAACTCATCTCTACACAATTTGATTGCCAGATAAATCTAGTCCCTAGAGATCCATATTCCACAGCTAACAAAATGGCATTTTACAGAGTTGTTGGATGCCATATCCCAAGAAGTGTATGGTGTAGGGGTGGCCAATATTCAGAAGCTATGTTTTCTTATACTGCCCAAGTGATCAGAATAGCGAAAACATTAAAATGAATTGAAATTATTTATAGTGAGAAAAACATTGGAAAATAAATCCCAGTAATACAAACACTGGAGGGGAAAAATGTGGAATGCATTCTGTATCATCCAGTAATATCTCCTACAATGAGTCTGTTTCAAGGCAGATTTCCCAATTTTTACTGCTTGTAGTGAAAACCTGGAAGGCAGAGAAAAAGGAAACAGTTAAGGAAAAGAATCTCTAAAATGCAGGCAGTTTTTCACCCTTGCCCAAGCAAGATAATTTATCTTCATTTCTGTGCATTTTAAGTGATTCCTCTTTATTCTTCATTTTAAAATATTTATATATAAATGTTATTTTAATATTATGCATCAAATATATGTAGGAGACAGTAAGACAACCCCCTTATATGAAGCACGCATAATTTTATTTTCAGTTAAGTCGGGGATGATAAAAATTTCAACAACTGATGGAAATTGTGTTGATTTAGCAGTTTTGATAATGACATTTATAGTGTCCAACTGACTATCTTTCAAATGATGTCTTTTATCTGATTCTCAACATCGGCTAAATATCAGAAAGGCTTTTAAAAATTTCAAATGTCTGATTCCTTACCCAGAGATTCTGATCTAAGTTGCAAGAAATATCATCTATGCAAAGGTATTTTTTTCATGCAGCCGTATTTTTTAATGAAAGTTAAAGAAATTTGGGGAGACTATCATTAACTTTGGAAAAATATTAAGTAAAAAACATCACAACTGTAATAACCGATAAACTCCATGAATCAGTAAGACACGAAATTTTGTAAAATCTGCAAACTTCTTTCATATATTTATATGATCATGACAATTCTGGCACAGATATTATATTGCCTCCATTTTGTAGATGAGTATGTTTATATATATATATATATATATATATATATATATATATATATAATTATTCTTTCCATTTTAAAGTTTTACTCCAATGTAAATACTCATATTCTATCCTCATTTTCTTTATTCCATTTTTGTTTTGCACAGAAGTTTTTTGTGTGTGCATGTTTTAAATAGGAGACATTTTAAATCTAATTAATATAGTCACAGGCAGATGGGGAACAATATCCAATACAGGTTGCATAGCATTTATCCAAAATTCTTGGAACCAGAACTGCTTCAGATTTTGGAGTAACTATAGGTTTTACGGGTTGAGGATCTCTAGCTAAAAATCTGAAAACCACTCTAAAAATCTGAAATGCTTTAAATACCACATTGGCATTCAAAATATTACAGATTTAAGATTTGGGAATCACGAATGCTTAACCTGTATTTAAAAAGCAGTACAAAAGGAGTACATTTGATGAGGGTCAGAATCACACTACGGACATCAGTATGGAGATTCTCAAAAAACTAAAACTAGAGGTTCCATTTGGCCCAGCTATTCCTCTTCTGGGTACCATCTTGCAAGAATTAAAGAGTACTATACCAGTGATACATGCATACCCATGTTTATAGCAGTATCATTTATAACAGCTAAATCTTAGAAACAGCCCGTATACTCAGCAAAATGATGAGTGGATAAAGAAAATGTGGTGTATTTATACATAATAGAGTGCTACTCTGCCATAAAGAGGATAAACTGGAGTCACCTGTAGGAAAATACGTCCATCAAGACCATACTTTAAGTAAACCAGACACACAAGTTTAAATACCACACTTTTGTATATGAGACATGCAAAGGGTAAATAAGAAGTGAAATGAAGGCTATTGGAAAGTATGAAGAATATGGTCGAATGAGAGAGGAAACAAGGGAGGAAGCAAGGAAAGGAAGAGAAAAAGGAAAAAAGGATAAAGGAAAACATGGAAACAAAGCTTGTGTGAATGGGGAGGGGATGAAGTAGAGAGGAAGTCGGGGAAAGAGGGAACCAGGATGTGTTATGTACAGGTACAAACTCCTTATGATTAATGTGAACAATATGACAGTATATACTAATAAAAAATTAATTTAAAAAAAGAAACCACCCTTTACGAATCTGACAAAAGCAATGAGGTTCCTCTTCTCAGAAGGAAATGTTAAGTACATAAAAACATCTTGCATTCAGTTTAAAAGTCATTTTTTAGTTTCTATCTCTTGTATTTGAATAAATAAAGAACAATAAAAATGGCCAGACATGATGGTGAACACCAGTAACCCTAGCGCTGCAAGGTCAAGGCAGCAGGATCACAGGTTCCGGTTCCACCTCGCTAACTTAAGCAACTCAATGAGAAACTATAAAAAAAAAAAAAAAAAAAAAAAAAGTGCCAGCCTAGGCTGAAGCCCTCCAACCTGCCGGGGCGTGCAAGAGGGGACATGACACCAGCATGATGATCTGCCGAGATTTTTCTGGTGGTCAGAAGACAGTACCTGGTTTTCCACCATAATGTGAGACATTAAAAAACATCTGCAACTTTATTGTGCACCTTCATCTTACCTTTATGAGAGGACTCTGACTTTGCACAGTGACGTGAGGAACTATGCTGGTTTGTAAAGTGAGGGCCGTTCAGATCCTCAGCTTCCATCTGGGCACCTGGTGGCGGCCTGAAGGAAAGTCAGAAGTTAAGGTAATACCTAAGCGATGGTAACTGTAATTCCACCTCTTACTGCAATGTATGCATGGTAAAAATATTTTCTGTAGAAATCAAAAGTTAAATTGCTTTACAATTCCCTTGGGTGGATGCAAAATCCTGAATAAATTATTTTACCCCTGTGTCCCTTTGTTTTGATATGTAAGGTTCAACCAAAATAAGTATTTTCTCAACACCAAATAAGTGTGGGCCACTGTGGAAGAGAAACTAAAATAAGGCATAATTGCTGCCACTGATAAGAAATTTACTTTGTTTCAGTAGCATTTACTGAGGAAAAAAAGAGGAGAAATAAAAACAGATGAAAAGGGCTTGGGATTTAGCTCAGCAGAATAAGCGCCTGCCTTGCAAGTGCAGTCATGAGTTCGATCCCTGGCACCAAAAAAAAAAAAAAAAAAAAACAGAAAGAAAGAAAAAAAGATGACAATGACGAAGTTAAGGAAAGAAGAAAAAAGATCAAAGAAGGCTGACAGCAGGTAAAGAGAAGGGGGGTTGGAAGGGACACAGCGTGTCCTGAACACAGCGCCTTTACTCCACCAGGTTGGCAAAGCAGTCTTCATCAGTGTGTGGCTTTCTATGTAGTAGAGCTGTAATTTTATGCCCAAAAGTATAAAAGTGCATTTTTATTACTAAAAACTCTGTTTTAATATTTTAACTACTTAAAATATATTTTGAAACATTTGGCAAGAATAAAAACTTCATTTTTTACCTGACAGTATATTCAAATTTTGCATTAAACCGTGGAACTAGATAAGGTTTTCTCAAATATATAACCATGAAGGGCATTTTGTGCTATGTGTAAGTGTTCTCAGATTTGAAAAATTAGTCAGTTTGGCACAAAGGGCTCTGAAATGTAAAAATAAAAGCAAGTCTGTTCACATTTCTCATCCCATCTTTGTAAGCCTCTCTGTGAATATTTAGTTTGTGGAACAGGTCAACAAAGGAAGTAAACGTTTATACACAGTAAGATCTACACTGAAGGCTCTATATATATTATTAACTTGTGGAACGAATCTGCATAGCAGCTGTTATGTACACATTTTAGAGTTAAGACTAGGTTAAATCAGGTAAGAGATCTGTCCAAATTTACAGTTATTAAGTGGCAAGGTCAGCACTCAAGAACAGAATGGAAAAGCCAGGCATAGTGGCACATGCCTGTAATCCCAGCACACTCGGGAGGCTGAGGCAGGATTGTTTCAAGTTTAAGTTCGAGACCAACCTAGGATACAAACTGAGCTCAAGGCCTGCCTGAACTTAGCAAGACCCTGTCTCAAAAAGACAAAAAAAAAAAAAAAAAAAAAAGAACAGAATAGATTAAAAAATTTGTGCAGTGAACAATTACAGAGCTACATAAGCATGTGTTTTCATCAGTGCCATCTGTACACAAGCTATGTATATTTGTGTGTGTAAATACATATATGCACATATATGTGTACATGTCATATGTATGTGTCTTTAACTTTGAAATATTGTTTGAAAATCTTTTTTTTATAAGGGATGCATGTTTTTATATTTTCACACGTCTGTTATTTATGCATATAATTAATGTGAGCATAACATGTGGCATAGGTGGAGGACAAACTGGATGACCTTTCGTGAATGAAGAGTAATTCTGTCCATTTTGGCTAGACCTGGCCCTATCTCCACATACTGATGTGTACAGAGCTGGCTACGCCATTTTCTTAACTCTTCAATTACCTCTAAGCTATGTAAATAGGCCTAGCTGTCGTGCTGGTAGGGAATCTTTGAAGTGACGTGGCACTGACAGTGCTGTCCTCCCAGACTCCCAGAAAACAAGACTGAAGCAGGCAGGGTGAAGAGCACTGGATTGCTCACCCTGTCACCTGGGCTCCAGTCTGGAGACAGGAGGCTAGAAAGCCCTGACACCACACCTTAGATGTCACTACTTCTGCACATCCTTCCCTCTGCATATTGCAGAGGTGACCTCGATCAGGCCACCCATCTAGCCAGCTCATAGCACTCACTCACCTACTTCCTGCCTGTCTCAAGAGCTGGTAATCAATGTCAGTGACTGGATTCTTCACTCTCTCATTAATCTTTACTAGGTGGTCAAAGCTGAGAGGGAACTGCAAATAGCTTCATGATACTACCTTCACATCAATTCACCATCAAGAACAAGCAGTCTAAGCTGTGGAACAGAGCACAGGATGCCACCACTCTTCTAGGATTTCCATGCAAGGATAAACGCATCACTCTAGAACAGCCTCAGTTTTCCTGGGCTGCATTCTTTTTGTTTTTTGGCAATACAGAAAACAGATTTTGGTTTTAAAGTTCTTCTAGGATTTCCATGCAAGGGTAAACACATCACTCTAGGACAGTATCAGTTTTCCTGGGCTGCATTCTTTTTGTCTTTTGGCGATATAGAAAACAAACTTTGGTTTAAAGTTTCCAGGGACTCTACCAAATTATTTTGTTGCAATGATGGTTGTTTCAAAGTTAAGGGTACTTATATCCTAAGCTAGAAAAACTCTAATGAAACAGCAGTTAATATCATAATTTTTTTTTAATTAGGACTACTGCTTCCTGTTTTCATGAAAAGATTAGTATCATTAATTTCATGATATACCTAAAGGCTCTTCAGAATTCATTTCTATGTCACTTCTTCAACAAACCCACCTTGACTCCCAAACCAGGTGTTTCCATATGCTCTCATGTACCCTTGGCTTTCTGTCCGTAGCACTTAACACAATCATAATAGTTATTTGGATAATTATTTGTTTAGACTATAAACTTCATGACAGCTTGAAACAACTGACTCTTGTGAGCTGCTGCTTAGCGTAGTCATGGGCAGTTATTGGGGTTCTCAATAAATATTTGATAAATGATTAAATAAGAGATCAAATGTAATTGATAGTCATAAGAATGTGGTGGGAACTAAACAAGATTTGAAAGACTTTTGTTTTTTATTTTTTCTTTCCCTTTTTAAAAACAGTGCCTAGTTAGGTCACTAAATGCCTGGGCTGGGCTTGATCTTGTAATCGTCCTGTCTCAGCTACTCAGAGATCTTGCCTGGCAAGATCTTTAGGTTTTTCTAAAGTAAAAATGCAATTAAAGACTCAACTAATATTACTGATATAAATTCCTGTTATTAAAACACTTTGGAAATTGAGTTAACTTTTTGTAATTAGAGTTACAATTAATTCAGATTCCAGACTGGTTCTCTATTTCCTTAAGGAAATAAAAATTTGTAATGAATAAATAGTTTGCTTTTTTTCTGCTATTATTACTACCCTATAGTAATAAGCATCTTGACCTATGAAGGTCCATGTTTTTTAGTTCCTACAGCCAACTCTTTCTGTACAAATAACTATACTCTTCCTTCATGATTAAATGTAAAAGAAATCATAGACTTTAACCCAAAAACATATATTTGGAGTGCAAGATTTTTTAACTATGAAAATGTTTCATAAAATTCTTACTCATTTTTGTTTTGTCATATACACAATCTTTCAGTGAATGATATTTAAGACAAATATTCCCTCTACGTCAAAAAAATTTACATTCTACTAGCCATAAGTCATGCTCTACTAATTTATAACAGCTATTTTAATACACATTTAAGTATTAATTTTTTCAATAGGCCAAATATTTTTACAGTATCTATTTATATTCCTAGACTCTTCTATTACATCTGTTGCAGATATTATTGTTGTTCTAAAGGTCAAGGACTTAGAATAACAAAGGCAAAGTAAACCTAAAAATTATCTGAATTCATTTGATTTTTTAAAAAGGGATGATAATCCAGATATATTTACTAAGAATAGATTTTTTATTTTACTTGAGGATATACTAAACTATGTAACTCTAAAACGTAACTTTAATTTCTGAAAGCATATAGCTTTTAAAATAGAGGACAAATACATTTATTTGAAGGAAGCTAGTCCAGCAGCTTAAGTGTAGGCAGTGACAACAGTATCGAAATTTTCAGTATTACAGAACTTACATTTTAAAAATTCTAGTAAATAATCAAAACCAAATTAAAGGCTTTAGTAATTCAGTTTTCAAAATACTAGATTTGATGTTACTTTTGCCTTTTTATTTAAATTAACTTATACTTGAAAACATCAAAACTGTACTTACCAAGAGACTAATGTGATGTGCCAGTGCCTCTTTATCTGATATCATGTTAGAAAGAGATTAAGCACACCTATCTCCTCAAACACGTATCACTTCCTTATGGCCAAAGTTTTGAATATATCTTATCCTAGCTTTCTAAAATATGCAGTTCATCCCTGTTATCCAGTCACCCTCCTGTGCAAGAGCAAGAGCACCCCATAATTTATCTCTATTTACTCTGTTTAGCTCTAATCCTTCCCTATTAGTCTCTCCCCAACACATTCTCTAGTCTTACTTCGTAGAGCCGCTTCATCATCCAATTGCATGCTCTGCAGTTGGGAGGTACACATACCAAAGCCACTGCCCTAGTGAAATGTAGGGTAGTGGAATGACCCAAGGATGTGCCTAGGGTATGGACTCTCATAAGCGTGTTTCAGTATGTTTAAATGCCACGCATATAGTTGTGCACGGCCTAACAGTGACCAGGAAGAAAGCCAATAAAAATTTAAAGCCTGAAATTTTATTTGGGAAAACAGTTAATGTTATCTCTCCCCACCTGAAGGCATAAACTCTGTGAATACATAATTTAAGAATTCTTACAAAAAGCACACCTTTTCTTATACACTTCAGTTTTTTAAGATAGTTCTTATTAGATTTCTATAACCCAGTTTAAGACTGGATATAAAAGCCTGATAATAACACTTCAAGACCTCACACCAGTATTGCAGCTTTCTGGAGCTCAGTCTTTACAAGCAAAGACACCAGCTTAGTCCGCCCAAGCCACCTTGCTCACTGCCTTCCCAGGGGCCAGCTTACCGTGCTGGCCGGTCGGTCCTCCAGCGGTGAGCCTCACTGCTTTCTTTTGATTTGGAGTGGGCTGGCTTAGCAGTTTTTGACTATGGATAGAAAAACAAAAATACACACATATAAAAAAATCAGTAAGGGGGAAAGATAAAGCTTAAAAATATGTACACTATGTCAAATTTTTCCTTAGTAATTTCAGGTTATTTACATTTAGTTGAGCATTACCAATTATTCTTTATACAAACTGTTCAGATGTTAAAAGAACATTATAGCCACAGAGATAGGTTGTAAGGTCACCAGTCTAGCCAAATGGGCAGGTTAGCATACGTGAATGCAAACTTGTACACACAGGTACGCTCAACCACAGGTTAACATAAGAGGTACACAGAAACTCCTAAGATCTGGCAGATACCACGGTCAATGAGATCTACATTTGGCTCTCAAACTTTTTTCTGTGTGTCAGATGAGGGCTGATTATATGTGAGTCAGGCGACTAAGGCACACATAAGTCAATTTTCCAAGAGGAGAACTATACTAGCACCAGTTACAGAATTCAGACACTGCAGAAGTCATGGTACTTGCTAGAAATGTAGCCACCATCCTCTGACTTTTCTGATTTTTAATCCACAAAATACTACTACTCTTTCTTAATTAACAAAAAATCTCACTGTCACATGTGGTGGTTTTAAGTTCAATTTGAGAGACTATTGGTAAGAGGGAGTACTAAGTAAATAAAACTAATAGAAAAATAAAAATGCTTTCATTTGTCTTAAGACTAACAACTGGGTAAATGAACAGAGGAAACAGTAAATACTGAAGTACTAAATATCAACATTCTCATGGATACACACCCTAGGCTGCCTGGTTCCAGACTTAATGCAAATTCTGTTCCTGAAAAGCCCCTGTAGTATGAATTCTTTCTCCACCTGTGCCATGACAAATCTTACACTGTGACACAGCAATGACTGCCAGTTCTAGGTATGCATCTGTCACTTTTCCGTAGACAAAGGGAAGAGAAAGAGGTTCATGGTAGGCATGAAGGAAAACACAAGCACAATGAAAAAGTAGATAAAAGAGCAGATCACTGTGAAAATTTTGAAAGCATATAAAAATACTATATTCTCCTGCAATATAAATATATGAAAACTAAGACCCAGATGACCACAAGTACCTTATCTCAGGCAGTCTAAAGATGAACAAAATGAGTTTTTAGATCTAATGATAATTTCTTAGTTACATTCAGAAAATAAAGTTCATAATAAAGAACTTATATATATTAGATTAACATGTAATACAGGTAATTTGAATATCCTAAATATATTTGTAGAGTTTAAACTAAAAGTAGAGCCCCTTTCTTATTTCTAAATCTGTTTCTATTAAAAACCAAAATACATACTCTACCTTGCACTCTGGGTCATGCTTTTTGTCTACAGATGTCTTCTCCCGCTCTTTGGCTTTCTTGTAAGCTTTCTTTTCTTCAGCCATTAGAAGTCGAGCAATTTCCTAACAAGATTGAGTCACTATTATTCAACGCAGACTCAGGTAGGAAATTACTAGAGTACTTTCAAAGGGTATGTAAACATGAACTTACTTCATCCTGGGCTACTTGGGCTGCTCTCATGTCCTCCTGGGTAGCCTGTGGTAAAAGACCACAGAAAAGAATCACTCAGTTGAAATCCATGCTGCCCACTTTAAAAATCTTACATAGACTGGAACCTGAAACTTATGTAACTAAAGTTGGTAATGGGTTGGTATACACTCACTAGCCAGAGTAGAGGCTTTTCTAACCAAATTCAAGAGCAGGTTCTTAAGAAAATTACCAGAAATGGCTGGGGATTTAGCTCAGCGGCATAAGCACCTGCCTGACAAGCGCTAGGTCATGAGTTTGATCCCTGGTACCCCTCCCCCAAAAAGAAAAGAAGAAAATTGCCAGAAATTAATAATGCAAAGGATAAGCACATTGACTTTCAAGAAAGTTGATATAACAGTCCAATTTCACCCACATGAAATATATCCTGACATCCTTAACAGAAACTTGAAACTGTGGAGAGTACCAATCTTTACATACATTAACTTGATGAAAATAATAATAAAAGAACGATTATATCAATATGCTGCAATAATACCTGTCAACTGCTTGTCCTGCCTGGAGTTTTATTTATTTGTTTCCTGAGACAGGGTCTTGCTATGTAGCTCAGGCTGGCCCTGAACTCATCATGTAGCCCAGGTTGGCCTCTAACTCACAGCGATCCTCCTAAGTGCTGGACTACAGGTGTGTGCACTGCACCCAGCTGGAGTTTCCGAGTTAATATTTTGGCCCGTGTTTGACTGTGGGTGCCTGAAACCACAGACAGTGATCTACGGAGAAGTAAGACCTGCTGTGCTCTATAGTCCCTCATCTTCATTTCTCCACTATCAAAATTTATCAACTGATGGAGAACTATAATGCATATTACATAATCCTACGATTGAGTCAATTCACAAAAACACTACTGATTCCCTCAACTTTTGCCTTAAAATGTACTCACCAAAATTTCTTCTTCCTGAAGTTTTCTGGCAATTTCAGCATCATACCATTCCTGATCTCTGTGGGTCACGCGTGACGGAGGAGCACACACAGCTTCTTTGGTCACCCTTGATCTCATTCCTGAGAGAAAATGTTCAATGCAGTCAGGCAACTCAGGTTGTTTTCTGAAAATTTCTGTAACAAGTTTTGCTTAAATATCCAACACTTGTCCAAACTGCTTCCATGTCAGAATGCAGTGGCGGTAGTTTGAAACACTTTCCTTCTTAGGAGTGGAAGAGACAGTGCAGACAAGCCGTATGTTTTAACAGTCACCCACCCAAACCTGCCTGGTAAAAACTCCCCTCTCACATTTCTTCAACAGCAGAAACTCATGCTACGAATTGCAAGTGAGGCCTTCACAAAACAGGAAGTGGAAAACAATTCACTGAAAATAGAAGAATTTAAAGAAAAGAAGGTTACACAACCATAGCTTAAAAGAGACTAAAGTGGCAAGACTGGAGGTGAGAAACTTCCTCCCACTTACTGAAGTTTTCTTATCTTATTGTAGAAAAGCTGAAAATCATTATCTGCAAACTATGTAAAAATACCCACTTGCAAACCAGGAACTCTGTTATGGGTTGTGCTCTGACGTTAAACAAACTCACTTGCTTTAGATCTTTCTCACAGCTTTGATCCATTTTTTACTGCCATTAATAAACTTTAGAGAGCTGTAACATTACACATATATCAGACAGCACAATGACTTTAGAGTTCTATTCCATCAGAGACAAAGGAACATAGGAGAAGTGATGGCCAATTTTGGCTTTTTATTTAGAATATAACGAGCAGCATAAATTCCTTTTATAATTTTCAATTAAAGCAAACGTTATTTCAAAATTGTGGGTGTGTATTTCCCTTGTGATAACTGCTATTACCCAACAATGTGAATGTATTATATTCAGAAGCAATAAAAGTTTTGAATGCAATGAACAAGAACAGTCATCTAAAGTAATGACTTCAAGCACATGGGCCATTGAGAGGAAAAACAGAATTTACTCTTGATTTGTCATCTCTTTCTATAGCACCATGTTGGGTAACCATGGCCACTTATTAGAACAAGAACTAGAACTATATTTGTCCCAATTCCTAGAAGCTCTTAATTTGACAACCTTGGTAAGTCCTGGCCGTGCTAATTTTAAATCAGCTGATTCTTACTTGCAATTTTCAATCAAACCACTAGTTGAGTGCATTATGCCCACCAAAATAACTGTACATTAAAATGACTTCCATTAAAATCCCTTAGCACACACAGAAAACTAAAATGCATTAACACACAAAAAAACTAAATTTAGAGATTTAGCCTATTTTTGTGACCCTTCAACTATGCTTTGCGGTAAGATCAAAAGCCACAGACTCATATATAGTGATCTTTAGAACCAAAAGAAAAAAAAAAAAAAATAAGCAACTCTGGCTTTCTTAGTTTGCAACTTACAAGGACCCGATTATACACACCACTTATCATCTTTAGAGCTACTATACTGTTAGCATGCCTGGTTTTAATCTAGATTTCTGACTGTTGGAATAGCAAGAAGTATTCTACCTGGAATAGTTCTTGGAATAGTGGCACACTCCCAAGTGTCGTCTCATGTAAACAGAGTATGCACCTTCCTGAATTATGATTAGATTGGTCTATCTAAAAGACAGATTTCATGAGAAATACATAAACCAGATAGGGAACATAGGGAACTATTTGGTGGTGTCAATGGATTAAGACAGGTTGTTCTATAATACCCTAATATAGCATCTTCACATTAAGTAAAATGAAACTTAGATTTATGAAAACAACCTAAGAATTGTTCTTTTACTTAGCTATTATATTTTAATGTAATCCTCTGACCTACTCCACGAGGACCATAAAAATTATAAAGCAATAAGAATCTCGGGCTGGGGATTTAGCTCAGAGGCATCAGCACTTGCCTTGCAAACAGGTACCGATAAAAAAAAAAGTCTAAGCATTTTACACTATAACCATTTTAAAGCCTTTTTAGCTGCATTTTTTAAACCTTTATGCTAACAAGAAAAAAGAATCATTTGCTGCAACTCTCTTACTGGAGTTTGTGAATCAATGCTTAGTTTCATGCTTCCTAAACCTATTTTAAACACCGTGAAGTACATTTAAAAGCCATAAAACATAACCATCCCTCAGAGCACATTTACAAGGTCAGATTCACAGAATCAGGAATATAGAGGTCACTGTAATCATCACTCCTCCTCCACATTCCCGACTTCCTTTGCAACTAACATGTCATCCTAAATTTGGATATAGACTATCTCCGTAAACCTACTCCATTTAAGATTATAATGCCCTCTTTTCTTTTCCCCCACAGCTCTTTGTTCGTATCTAACATGGAACATGGTAAATCTAATTTGCAAGTATTTGTTTTCATAGACACCTTTTCAGCTTGTATGTTAACCCTGAGGCTTAGATGCAAGCATAAAGTCCAACACAAGAATATCTGATAGATACTCCAGATGACTTGTGAAACTCAGTTTTAGCAGTCTTCATAACCAAGTCTCTTCACACTCAGAATGGCTTGTTAAACTTTTTTTTTTGGGGGGGGGGCAGAAAAAAGGGTAGAAATAACACAGAATTCAAAAAAAATAACAGTAAGAAACCACTAGTTGATAAATTACATATTGTTATCTTAGAATTAGTTGTTCAAGTTAAAAAATCGAAGCATAAAAAGTAGACAATGAAACAATGATAGTACAAACTATTCTGTTTGGTAAATTAACAAAAACTTAGTAGTATGGTTATCTATCTTGCACACTTAAACATACATACAGTTATATTCTTTAGAGCACTTTCATTAGAGCTAAGGTGATAGGAAAAACAATTCAATCCAGTTTCCCAACCAAAAGTGGGGTTTGAGTAAGCCACAAGAGGTTCCTCCTTAGAACTCTTTTCCCAATAACCCTTTCACCTATACAAAATTGCAATGAGAATTAAATAAAACCAGGATGAGGAATATGATCTGAACACCAGATAACATGGTGCTATGACATGTTAAAGCCACAGAGAAAACAGCACCTCAGTGGGTTCCACACAACAGAGAGAGCTGCTACAATGTTCATCATACACTTCAGCAGATGTCCTCACACTTGAGAATTTATTTCTTTACAAGTACCAACAACTTACCTGCATTTGCACTTTAGAACACCAACTGTAGAGTTAGAGGTAGAGAAAGTTAGAGCACACAAAAGAACTTAAAACAATGATTTTCAAACTTCAATTTTGTAAGAATCACCTCCAGCTCAAAAATATGCCCAAACTGACCCTGGAATTTGCATTTTTAGGAAACAGTCCAGTTGTTTCTGATGAAAATGAACTGAGGCCCATACTTTGAACATATCTTTTAAATGACTGCCTACACAATCTCTCATTTTACAGATGAGAAACACATGACCTAGAAAATCCAGTACTTCCAGCTAGCTCTATTAGCAGGTAAATATTACTAAAGCAGTATCACCAGATCTTCTGAGTTCACTGAAATAAAAGCAGCAATTCAGGAGCTTTAGTTGGGTATCAAGGAGCTGTGATGTACAACCTTGGAAGCTAAAAAAGTGTATCTGGGACAGGCACCTCCACTTGTTACCTGGGCCTGGAAGAACCCCCCAAGGTATTAGTGTATTTGCAGAGAGTAAAAGGTACAATCATTTTCCTTCCTCCTACACACCAGAGATTAAGTATATTAGCTTTACTACTATTTGGCTCTAGAACCTGTTTCATGTAAATGAATACAAACTGGAGAGAAGTCTGCTTAGGAGCTTATTAAATGTATTCCCTCTATGCCTATACACGACACCAGGGCACCAATGGGGCTGTCCTGTATTACCTGTGTTGCAGAGGTGGTGCCGCTCCTCTCTCTCTGAGAAGGGAGGAGTCTTGTGCCTGTGTCTCCTTTCTCTGTTCTCACCTTGCCCGGGGTCCCTCCCATATACAGCTTCCTTGCAACGAAGCCCTGATTTTTGTGAGGATTTGGGTGAAAGTTGGTTTCGATGTTGGGACTGCTTTTCCCAATTCCGAGTTCGACGGCTGCTTTTAGCCTCCCAGTCACCAGAGTCTGTACTTAGCAACACTTCGCCACTGATCCTGGGGAGCGGCGGTCTTCGAGTCCTCTCCTGACAAGCCTGTGTCCTTTCACACTGCTCACTGGTGACTTGTGGAGCTTCCCTCATTCTGTCCCGGCTACAGGATGACCGGGATCTCTCTGAGGAACAAAGTTCTTGTGGCTCTTCCAAGTTCTCCAGTGGGCGTCTTGGTTTCTCCTTCCTCTGCTTCACAGCCTTTCTGTCACTTTGGAGGCTACAAGACCTTGAATATCCAGAACCCAGTTCCCTGGCCCTCCTTGACCTTGGCTGGTCTGAATGGAGGTGGAGGGATGTGAAAAACAAGAATGCAGATTAATTTAATAAGAGAACAAACTCATTACCCAGGGGGAGTCAGGGCCCAAGTTTAACTTATTTTAAAATGGAGAAAACTGCTTTTATTAACATACATAGAAGAGGGACTGAATACTTGCTGAAATGGCCTATAAATCCATTCTAGGTACATAGGCACAAAAGGCAAAAAACTAAAAATAAATAAAATATAACAAATCTGAAAAAACTCGATCATTATTAATGGAGTACATTCATATTTGCCAATAACAAAAATTATAGCCATTAAACATTAAATTCTACTTTATAAAACCAATTTGTAAGTATTATAGGAAAAATAGTAGGGGGAATAGTTTTATAGAACAGAAAAAAAAATAGTTTTGGGATTCAGTCATAGACTTTAAATATTCTTACTGGAAATGACAATAAAAATATATCATTTTCTGCTAAAGTCCAGAGAAATGGTTCATAGATCTTAGGATTTTTCTATCTTCCCTGCTTATGAAGTCAAAGCAAATTTTCTTGACCAATTTAGAGATGAGCCCTTATATTAGGGTTCAACATTAAAGAGGATAATACGGAAGACATTTAAGTTAGTAAATTAACCTGTTCTTTAGATAATGCTGTTCCTAATTTTAGCTGAAATTGGCACAGGAAAAAACTAAAAAGGGATGCCATACTAAAATACACAAAAGAGGTCACTCTTAAATACATTAAACTGTGTATTATTGTCTTGTATAAAAATATGATCTGAGTCAGAAGTTTAGCTCAGCAACCTAAGGGCGGCTGGCAAGTGTGACTGAGTTTGAGTTTGATCCCTGGTATCAATAAATAAATAAATAAATAAAGTGATAAATATATACAGTAAGTCCCCAAGTTTAATACAAATTTCAAAATAGCATACATATGAATGCTTTTGCTAAGTTTCATTTAGGCACAAGCATACTGTGCCAAGGAATTAATATCAAATTTAAGAGTTTAAGATTTTCTAAAACTTTCACTGTATTTTGGATACAATAAAAAAATTCTAATTCCATTTAAAATTCTAATATAGCTAAAAATAACATTTACTGATGGAATTAATTATTGCTGAATTAGATTTGAAGCAGCTACCACAATTTGATAACATAGATAAAGATCTGTATTTTCTGAGTTTCTAGGGGTTTGTGTTGTCTGGTTTGATACTGTTATTCTGATACCACTGTGCAGAGTAACCAGGAGATAAAGTGCCATTATACAACACTGATGCCACAGGGTCCCCTAAAATTCCTCAAGTAGTTTCTGTTACACTTTCTGGAAGAAAATCTGCTTCAAAGCTATGTCTAAATTAAAATTTGTGTCCTAAACAGTCTGTAAAAAACTTGTCTACTTATAATTTATGGTTAAAATTATATTTAACATAAAGTAAAAAATGAAACAGAATATTTACTCTCTGTGGTTAAAAAATAATTGTTCTATTATTTCAATTCTGACAACTGAGAAAGGATCTACTGGCTACTGCAGTAAATAAACACAGCACCAATAGGCTATTAAATAATGACCACATTTGAGCCGGGCGTGGTGGCTCAAGCAGAGGATCTTTGGGAGTTCGAGACCAGCCTGGGCTACAAAGTGAGCTCAAGGCCAGCTTGAAACACAGAGCGAGACCCTGCCTCAAAAAAGACAAAATAATAATAATAATAATAATGACCACATTCAGGAAATCATTGTTTGCTAATGTCAATGTCCCAGAGAGCTTATATAGGGGGAACCTACCTCTAATCCAAAAGAAAATAAAAAGGATTTTGCTTCAACATGAATGCGTAAGGCTATTTAAAAAAAATTCTTCCTAAACAGTTTTAATGATACTAATTCTATTTCATAGAAATGTGCTAAAAGAATTTTTTACAAAGCTGTCACCATGCTTTCAGACTTGACTAGAAAAAAAATACTATCTAGTTTACCTTTTGTGCTATCTTTAAATGGAAGGGGTGGGAATCCTTTAAAACCTGTTTGGATCTTTTAAAACCTCTTCTACTATAAGACTGAGACTTGCACATTTCCTAAGACCAAGTTATTTGGCAAATATAAAATTAACTCCTTCATTGCCAATATATACATATATGTATACATATACATGTAACATATATGTACACACATTTATATCATATGCATGCCTCCATGTTTGTCATTCAAAACAAGATGATTTTTGTTTAAATAAAATACTGTATCACACACAAAAGACACTGAAATATGTATAAGAATATTTCAGAGTTTATACATCCTTCTTTGATCTTTTAAACATCTGTATGAAGGACATAGTTTTAGAATTCTGTTTTACAGACAAGAAAAAAGCTCAGAGATTATAGTAGATAATTTGAAATTACAACTGTCCACAGGAAGGTACAGAATATTAAAATAGTCTTACAACTTCAAAAGCTGTGACTTTTAAAAAGATTGCTAATACAACCACAATACAGTATAAATAGCTTTGAAGGAAAAACATGGGCTCACATATTTGAACAACATATTTCACAATTGATATTTTGGATAATTTCACATTTACAGAAAATCATTTTTTAAAAAATCATTTTTAAAGAAATTTATTAGTTTAAGTAAAATATAAGCTGAGAGGATAACCATTTCTACGATATACTGTGATTATTAAGTTAAGTAAAGCAAAACCCAAACTGCACATGGAAAAGTACAATTAAAAAGTATATCAGGTGTGTTGGGAAAGGACCACCGCAAAGAACTTAAGGACTGAGATACAATTTGTCTCTGTGGAATTCAATTTGGTCTAACTCAAAAGCACATAAAGGAGGGTCACATGTTCAACAATATATGACCCTGAACAATGACACCACAGCTGAGCTGAGAGAAATTACAGTGTTTATATACATATGCTGAGCTTACATCCTATCCTCAAGCCTCCCCCAAGCCCCCAAAGAAGCATATATGTCACTTTTTACACACATATAAAGGTAGTTAAAATACATATATTTTTAAAATTTGAGGAGTGCACCTGAAAACCACTGAATTTCTAACACAGTCTCCTACCCTAGAGATATGAATCAAGATGACAGTACAACAGGAAAACAAGTTTGAGTCTCAATATTCAATTTAGCACAGACTCTAAGGAAGGCAGGTTAAAATTAATACTTCTGTGTACTTAATTACTTGTTATTTAATGCTTTTACTGACTTCAAAGTTTAAAACACTTTTCACAGTGAACATGTTTCCAGAGCAGAATTAAAAGTTAAAAACAAAAAACAGTAGACTGTATTTCTAAGATTTTAATTGAAAGTCAGAAATAACTACCTTCTAGTCTCTAGGATAGCAAAGTATGGTAATTACTTTCCTTCTTTTTAAGTGATGTAATATATAATTTCACAAGAAAAGCTAGCATGTGGAAGGAAGATGGTTATCAAAAAAAAAGAGCTGAGCAGTTCACATATGGAAAAAGTATCAAGCAACAAAGAACCAAACAGTGTACTAAATAACCCAGTAGAATTCCAGTGATTATGGTAAATTTAGTGTAAAACTTGTGACTGAGTAAAATTATATCTGAACTATAAAAATCCTACCATCCACATATGCATTCTTTTCATTCTACTCACTAAAGACACACACACTTACCTTCTGTAACGGGATTAGAGGAATGGAGTTGAATCTTAGTTTGCAAAGCCTTTTGGATCACTGAGCTTAAAATCTTTACTCTATAGAAGGTGCCTTTAAATTTTGTTCACTGGTTACCCTAAGTTTGCTTTCCAAGCTGACCTTCAATAGAGTGACACTTGACACTACAAGAAATGTCTTTCCTTTGGAAGATCTTTGACAAGAACTGAGTTACACTTGCAAATATTCTTTCCCAACACACTTGTAAGATAAGGAATTATCACACCACAATTGTAACCACCATACCAGCACCATCACCAACCTAAAAAAGCAGACACCAAGTAAGCAAGACTGTGGAGGGAATTTTTCCCCTCAGAAAATATTCTATATTGTAATCAAATAGCAAAGAATGTTTCAAAATCAAAAAATGCTGTTAACAGTGTTTGTTGTAAGTAGGCCAAAGCACTAATCCAAGATTCAAAAAAGAAACTATGGGAAAAGAATTTATTACCCAGTAACTAATACATGGTAAGTATGCCTTCTGTATTCATACCATTACACTAACACAAACAAACAGCACTGCCCAGATTTCTTTGAAAAAAGTTAAATTCGGAGAGTAACCTGTCATCTTCCATACCCCACTTCATGTGTTTATAGAGTATGCTATATTGCTTCAAGGGACTACAACATAAAGATGTATATTCAGTTTTACAAAGCCATATTCAAGTTGTAATAGTCCTAAAAATGGCTCTGATTGTCCAACTAAAGAATAGATAAGTTCACACCATTCAAATACAATTCTGCCATAACTCAAAATGTACTAAGTGCCTGGGAATAAGAG